TGAAGCGATATTTATCAAATTATTCAGTAGAAGCTTGGTCGGTTTTTGTAGAAAGATGAACAGTCCTCGAATTGTACAATGTCAGATTGTTTTAGCTTAGGACAATCTACTGCATAGCATTGGTCAGGAGTCCATGATCACAACAACTGTATTTTCAGGCGTGCTGAGCGTGCTCTATATGTGGCCACGGTGCTCACAATTATTTTCATCATTGCCGAAGTTGTTGGTGGATTCTTGGCGAACAGTTTGGCCATAATGACTGATGCCGGTCACATGCTATCGGATCTGACCAGTTTCGTCATTTCGATCATTGCAATTAAAATGGCACGAATGAAGCCTACAAAACGTCTGTCGTTCGGTTTTCATCGTGCCGAAGTGCTCGGTGCTGTTATTAGGTATGTTCAAATGATGAGTGCACTCGAAAATCGCTTAAATTGCAACAAATATTGTGTGCTCGGTGCCCAGTCAATCTGCCTGAAGACATTTTGCCTAAAGACACATTGCCTGACAGGCAGATTGCCTAACGGACAGTTTGCCTAACGGACAGTTTGACTAACTTACGGTTTTTTAATGGATATTTCGCCTAATAGGCAAACTGTTCCTTAGGCAAACTGTCCATTAGACATACTGTCCGTTAGGCAGTGTGTCTTCAGGCAGATTACCGATCACGGTGTGCTCATCAGCTGGAGCGACTCGCTCGTTCAACGCCTATCATTTCGAGCTTGGACTATTTTGGAAACAACCACACTAATATCAAGCAAACCCTTATTCCTCATTTCAGCTTTGAATTGTTCGTCAAGTTTCCAAATTTCCTTGATGAACGATTTAACGTAAAGCTGCAATGAGGAACAAGTGTCTGCTTGATGTCATTGTAGTTGTGTCAAAAAGTTATAGTTGTTAAACAGGAAACCAATTAATCGAATGGTATTATCTCAACTATAAAATTAGATCGCTCTTTCAGTGTTCTGATCATTTGGATACTCACAGTCGTCCTCGTTTATTTGGCCATCGTTCGAATGGTGCACAAAAACTTTGAAGTTGACGCAAATGTGATGTTAGTTACGGCGAGTATTGGTGTAGCATTTAATATCATCATGGGTGCGGTGCTGCATTTTGGTAAAGCTGAACACTCACATTTTGGACAGTCACATTCTCATGATAGCGATCAGGTTTGCCTTCTCAATCCTGACTGACTGATTTTTACCGTTTCAGAAAGATTTGCGTTTTTGAAAATAAATAATTTGCCGAGTCATTCTGATGTTGAGTTTAGAAGGAGAGATATCTTTGTTTTAAACGGAAGAAACCTAGATCAAAGGAGCAACGAAATGTATGAGTACAACCAGCAATCAGCTGGTTGAGCTCAAAATTATCTTTAACAGAATTCACTTTCCGGACTCGTTGAATAGTCTTTGATCGATAGTTGAAAACATGTTTTTTACATCCCTTCTGGTTTCGTTTATCTTGAAAAATTGTTCAATCACTCAATCGATCAGCTCAGCGTTTTAGGGAACAGTGGAATCGTCGGCAATAACTCA